CGGGCGCGGCCCCCGGCGCTGCCACCCGCGCTTGGCAGGGCGCTGCCCCGCCGCGGCGGCCGTCCCCGGGCCCGGGGCTTTGTGTGCCCTGAAAGGCGGCTCCCCCCGCCCCCCCGCTATTCACCCGCCGCCGGCCGCCTCAATGGGGCTGCGGCCGCCCATATGGTGACCACGGCCGCTGAATCCCCGTGTTTAAATGGAGGAGAAAGTTCGGGTTTTAAAACATTTCAAAGTGGTTGAAAGGGTCCCACCAGATCCTGTCACAATTCCCCCCGAGCTTTGAAGGCCGGGGCCATTGTTCGCCGATTATAAATGATATTACTTTAAAGTTGATTTCCCACAATATTTAAAGGATGTCGCGGGAGTGTCGCTATTTATTTTTGGCGTAACTTTTCAAGGGAATTAGCATAAGTAGCCCATGCATCCCTCACCCCGGCTCCCTCTTTATGCGACATCAAAACGCTTCGAAAAATATGCTTTGAAAGGAGAGGGAGAGCTCGTTTAGGACAACGACTTCTGTGCCTCGCCGGCAGGCTCCGTCCCTCCGGGCCCGGCGGCCGGGGGTGCCCGCGGAGCCCCCCGAGAGCAGCCGGCCCCGGGCCGCAGCCGCCTCCGCCCGGGCGCCCAGCACAATGAAACTTTCCCCTGTTTAATGGCAGAAATTGCATTAAAAGTGGTGGAAATGCCCTAATTAAAAATGTACCACTTAAATGATATGCCAAGCGCTCAGCTGCAGAACGGCGTATTTAGCTAGTTAGTGAACTCGCTACTATTTCTTTTAAAATTACATGTTAAAATTTTAAAAGAAATCTTACTTTTCTCTGGTGCAACACATTACAAAGAATGGACAGTCCTTTTATCTAAATATAAAATTCCATTTTCAGCAATTATAGCCTGTTCTTGGTGATGATATAATTACAGCTGTGCTCAGTAATAGGTGTCAAGGCAATGCACACTCATACAATAGTTGAATAAAACTGCAGAACAATGCAGGCACTTCTAAATTCACAACCTTTAAAATGAAATTGACTGTGCAGAATTCAAATAAAAACTGGATAAATATTTTTTTAAAAAGATTACAAGCTTGGTTTGGTTTCTTAATAGCATTTTCTGCAAACCTATCAACATCTAATTGATTAGATAGGAATTACTGATTATAGATAATCTGAAATACTGAACATCACTATTTTAAATATAGCAATAGGTAAATAAATGCAGCAGACGGAGGAGACTGCCATGGCACTCCAGCAGGAATTCATGGAAAGAATCACATTCAGGGGAAAGTATTTTTATGCAGGTTTTATTCCAGAGGGAAAACAAAATGAAATTAAGACCAGGTGATCATAATTCCTCGTCTCCGATGTTTACATAAGGCTGGAAACCGAAATATTTCCGTGTTACCTCTGTCATTAGCACTGTGTTGCTTTGATACCTGAGACATTTTTAAGGGAGGGTGTCAGCAAACATGGCTGAACTCGTTTCCAGTTGCATTATTTCTCTGATAGGGATCTTCAAACAAGGGTACCTGCGTTTCACTTTCTGACTCTCTTGGTTCCGCAGATGGCTGTCCGCAACAGGAGGGAGGAGGGGAGAACACTAACTCCATCAGCTCTAATGGAGAAGACTCAGACGAGGCCCAAATGAGACTCCAGCTGAAAAGGAAGCTGCAGAGAAATAGGACATCCTTTACCCAAGAGCAAATCGAAGCCCTTGAGAAAGGTGAGTGACATTTTCCTATGGCTGAAGCAGGAGAGAAAACAAAATGTGCCCCGACCACATCGCCAGCTGAATGTAAGCACGGCATTCCTGCGCCTTATATATATGTATATATTTAAACTCTGTGGCTCCCTCCGTGCTCTTTTATTCACAGAGCTCCAAATATTCATTGCTGGCCGTGCTGTGCCCTGAAAAGCTGTTAAAATGGTTTTCAAAGGCGAAGCGTTCAGGGCACACATCACGCCGAAGCTGCACCCCGGGCTTCTCTTGGGGGGATAGCTCTCCTCTGTGCTGCACTGCTGGGAGGTGAGGGCAGGCAGGGGGCTGGCAGAGTCCCCCACGCCTGCCCCCACGCTCACTCCCCATCCCCAGTGCCCGGGGCTGGGAGCAGGTGCCCTTTTCCCTGGCCAGCCCGGGCGCACTCGCCTCTGACCCGCCGCGGAGCTTTGTCCTCATTTTGCGCTGTTATTCAGCGACGTGCCATTTCGCTTCTTGGTGACAGGGTCAGAGCTGCCTTGGGGACCCCCTCAGTGGAGAGAGAAGCCCCCACTGCTTCTTGAGAGATGCAGCACTGCACCCAAGCCTGCCCATCCCCATGGCAATGCTCCCCAGCAGGCAAGGCGTCCTCCTTGCTAGTACACAGGCAGAAAGCTCAGCTTAGCCCTTACAGTGATGCTTCTTAGGAGCATTTAGAGCACAGGGAGCACAGGAACAGCTCTGGTTTTACAGTCAGCCGCATCAGCTTTGCAGCTAATGCAAGAATATTTCCTTCTGCAGAATTTGAGAGGACCCACTATCCTGATGTGTTTGCAAGAGAGAGACTAGCCGCTAAAATAGACCTGCCTGAAGCAAGGATACAGGTACTGATTTGCTCTGCAGTTGTAACTACTATTATTTTTACTGTTACTACTCTGATTTTGTTACTCCTGGCTTCTCAAAGCACGGGGCAACCCATATTTATGATCAGGTATTTGCCCATGCCCCTCTTTCAGGGAAATAGCAGCAGCTGGCTTTGCTTTCATTTCCTGCTTTGCTCTTGAGCAGCGTGGGGGAGGCCCTGTGCCTCTAGTCCTTGTAAGGTCACTCACATCTCTCAAATGCTGTATTTCCAGGTGTGGTTTTCCAACAGAAGGGCCAAGTGGAGAAGGGAAGAGAAGCTGAGGAACCAGCGAAGACAAGCCAGCAACACTCCCAGCCACATTCCCATCAGTAGTAGTTTCAGCACAAGCGTTTACCAGCCGATCCCACAACCAACCACCCCCGGTAATGCCACCAACCCGCTCACGTCCGTCCATCCTCCGGGCCAAATGAGACTCTGAGGCTGTGCTGCCAGCTGTAATTGTGGTTAAACTAATGTGTTCATCTGTCTGTCTATTCTATTATAGTTTCCTCTTTCACATCAGGTTCCATGTTGGGCAGGACGGACACGGCGCTCACGAACACGTACAGCGCGCTGCCCCCCATGCCCAGCTTCACCATGGCCAACAACCTGCCTATGCAAGTAAGTCCAGCGCCACGCCAGGGCACGACATTCCTTGGGGATTCAGCAGAGCCTGGGCTGTGTGGGAGTGTGGCTGGGGACCCTTCCTCCATGCCAGGAGGGATTACAGACCCAAATTGTGAAACCTGTACCTAACGACTTCCTCAGCATCTGAAAAGATGCCCTGACTGGGGGAATCAGAAGGGAAAGGGCACTGAAAGATGTGGTGGCCAACAAGCACTTTTCTCAGGTTTTCAAAGAGAAAAGTCCTCAGATTTGCAAGGCAACAAATCTGGGATAAAAAAAATGCCATTTGGGAAAAAAAAATGTGGTTAACCTCTGGAACTTGCTGATGCCATATTGTGGAAATTGCTGCCTGAACGAGCTGCTGGAGGGATCCGACCTTCTGGATGTAGGTAACGTGGCAGCGGCACATTAGGAACACCTGAGAGAGGGAAGGATGTGATTAGCATCAGTGGTTATGCCAGCTAAGCCAGAATTGCAAGAGCTGTCAATCCTCATGCCTGAAAGCATTAGCTGATCACCAGCTGGGTTAGGAAGAAATCTATTCCTTTGGGGTCTGTTTCTATAGACCTTTCAGATGCAAAATTCCTCCTTTTTTAATGGTGGGGTTGGCCTAGGAAGGTGCTGGCCAATTACGGGAGTTTTACAGCTTTGTCTGAGGCACACAGCATTGACCACTGCTAGAGACAGGCGAGCAGATTAGAGAGCCTGACTCCTTCGCTGCGGCAATTACGATGTTACTAATTGCTGAACCAAAATTAACCAAATAAAGTTAGAGTCTTGCAAGTCTATGGAAAGGAACGGCGCTGGCTAGGTCGCTGCTCCGTGACGTTGGAAGCCGGCGGCGCCGTCCCCGGCAGCGGGCCGGGAGCAGATGACAAAAGATCAAAAGGCTGATACAGGAGGGGACCCTTGGGAAAGCAGGAGGCCCCCTGATTCACCACTGGGCACCTGGGCAGGGACACAGCACGTGTGAGCCACGCTGGAAAACGCTGCCTACGTGGTCACTGTGGCAGGGCAGCCATGTGGGCTCAGAGGGAGAGCCACTGGCATCTCTCTGCGGGTGCACGGAGCATCGTGTGTTCTCCCAAAGCAAGTGGGGCTCTCAGTGCTGCTGCAGAAGGAGTGTGGCAGGGGTGTGTGGCAGACAGGAAATATGTGCAGACGTGTTGGGTCTTGTGCGCTCGGGGTGGGAATTACTCATCCTGCTTCCTGCTCCCTCGCTGCGTCCCCAGGTCAAGGCTGCGCTGGTCCCCACTCACCCAGCAGCCTGCAGCAGGAGAAGCCCCTGCCTGGTCCCTCCCTCAGCCCCTGCCCCCAGCTGCTGTTCCCCCTGGCAAACTGGGTTTTAGGGGTTGGAGTTGAGGTGAATGGAGATGTCTGTTCTGGGATGGTGCTGGCACAGGTTTGGGGTGGCTGAGGCTCTGATGGGGATCAATGCACACGTATGTATGGGGTTAGGGGATTCCCCTTCAGAGCCTTGGTCCCCCCCAACCCCACATGTGGTCTGTGTGTCTGTGCCCCACGCTGGCAGATGCAGGAGCAGCCTCTGTGCCTCAGTGGAGTGTGAGGTAACTAAAATGTTAGTTACAATTTAGTTACAGCACCGACTGCGAGGTAAGATGCTGACCCTGTCTCTGGCTGCAAACGGTAAAAAAAGAGGCATCTTCCTTTTACGTGGGTATAAAGGAGGGCAGCACTCAGGCTTAGGGATGTAACACCTCCACCAGCATCTGGGTGTAGGGATCTGCTCGCCAAGCACGTCTGAAAAAGCACCATTAACCATCCATGTTGGTTTCTAGCCCAAAAGCCTCCAGGAAGGGCCTGCTTGGTTGGGCTCCTAAATAGGTCTTTACATCGTGCTGCCTGAATTTGAAACCTGAAGCTCATTTTTTGCTGTCTGAGGGCTGGCACGTCCATGCCCAAGAGCGTGATGCTGTGTTTTCCTGCAGGGCCACTGACCACTTTGTGCTTTGCCCCCACAGCCCCCGGTACCCAGCCAGACCTCCTCCTACTCTTGCATGCTGCCCACCAGTCCATCGGTGAATGGACGGAGCTATGATACATACACCCCTCCTCACATGCAGACACACATGAACAGCCAGCCCATGGGCACCTCTGGCACCACTTCCACAGGTGAGTGACCCCCTGCTCCCCCTGCCAGCCCCCTTTCCCTGCTCCAGCCATCAGGCTTTTCACCTGTGCTCCCTGTGAGGGGTCTCCCCCCATCGCTGCGGGAGGTCTCTCTGCTGGGATTCATTGCTGCCATACCAGGCAGAAGACAAAAATGTAGAACCTTGCAAACTAGAGCAAAAAATTCTGATTTTTAAGCTGCTTCTTGGAAGGCTAGATGGAAAGAAAGCTGATTAAGAGAGGTGGTGTGGAAATAGCAGGACAGAGGCAAGTTCTTCAGTGAGCCCCCCATCCCTCAAAAAAAAAAAAAAATCTTCCCTGTATAATTAAATTCTAAATCAGCATTTATTTCAGCATTAAACTTCAGCAGAGATATCCACAGTGGTGAGGTTAAGTGTATGTGAAACTGTTTGTAGTACTGGGCACATTTTTACCGTGTCTGTGTCAGACAGTATTTATTGCTAAAGGTTTGAAGTTATCAAAGAGGCAGGGAACCTGCAGAAATATTAGCCCATGCATAAAAAAGGCAAATCAGGGTAAAAAAGGGCAAGTGTCAGCAGAAACAGGAGCAATCCAGGCACTTTTCAAAATAATAGAACTGTTCAGTGTATTTTGGGCTGAATTCTCAACTGATACAAATGAGTCAAGGCTCTGGCATTTATCTCAAAGCATGAAAGTTTATTTATCACAACAATCAGTGAGATGTGCATAATTTTTAAAATATATGCACCCCCAACCCCTGGTTCCACAGGATGCTAGAGGGTGAGATTTGATGTTTACTGGAATACAAGCTCAAATCTGTGCAACTGTAAAGCAAAAATTGAGCTATGTATAGAGAAACTAAAATATCCACTTTCCCTCTCAATTTTCAGGTCTCATTTCCCCTGGAGTGTCAGTTCCAGTTCAAGTTCCTGGCAGTGAACCTGATATGTCTCAATACTGGCCAAGATTACAGTAAAACATGTGTTAATTCCGTAAATGACTATATGGACAACAGTTGGATGTTCAGCAGTATTTTATAAAGGAAGAATGGCTCTCAGAGTACTTCTGTACTGCAACTGTGCCCTATGCTGTAACACATGGAAAAGACTTTCACATGGACCTTTGTACACTGAAGGCATTATATCAGTTGGAACAAATCTTCATTTTGGTATCCAAACTTTTATTCATTTTGGTGTATTATTTGTAAATGGGCATTTGTATGTTATAATGAAAAAAAAAAAAGAACAATGTAGACTGGATGGATGTTTGATCTGTGTTGGTCATGAAGTTGTTTAAAAAAAAAAAAAGAAAAGGAAAAAAAAAAAAGAAGCCATGATCAACAAGCTTTGCCACGAATTTAAGAGTTTTATCAAGATATATCGAATACTTCTACCAATCTGTTCATAGATTATGGATTGATGTTCCAAGTTTGTATCATTCCATTGCATATAATTAAACCTGGAACAATGCGCACTAGATTTATGTAAGAAAAATATCTGTTGGTATTTCCAAAGGTTGTTAACGGCTGAAGCTATGTGCAAACAGGGGTTAAGAGAGAGCTGCGATGAAGAAAAGAGTTTGATAGATAAAAGGTAGATTGTGTCTTCGATATAATCCAATTTGTTTTATGTCGAAATGTAAGTATTTGTCTTCCCTAGAAATCTCCCAGAATGATTTCTATAATAAAGTTAATTTCATTTATATTTGACAAGAATATTCTATAGATGTTTTATACACATTTTCATGCATCATACGTTTCTTTTTTGGTCGGCAAGAGTTAATTGTTCTTAGATATAGTTGTACTACTGTTCACAGTCCAATCATCTTTGTGCATCTAGAATTCATTCCTAATCAATTAAAAGTGCTTGCAAGAGTTTTAAACTTAAGTGTTTTGAAGTTGTTCACAACTACATATCAAGATTAACCATTGTTGATTGTAAAAACCATGCCAAAGCCTTTGTATTTCCTTTATTATACTATTTTCTTTTTAACCTTATAGTGTGGTGTTGCAAATTTTGTTACTGTGCTAGGTTAATCTCATTAAGTTTTATTTTGATTTTATTTTCAGTAAGGAGGGGCTCTTAAGGAGCATTTTTATAGACTTTCAGCCCTTCCACCAGCCTGTAATTTGGGCTAACAAAAAGAAGGCAATGTTAAGTTGAATTTTGATTTTATTTTCAGTAAGGAGAGGTTCTTAAGGAACACTTTTACAGACTTTCATCCCTTCCACCAGCCTGTAATTTGGGCTAACAAAAAGAAGATAGGTTCATGTATCTAAGTGAGAGCAGGAGGAGGTTGTTTATTTAGCTGGGTTTTCTGGGGATGCTCTAAATGAACTCCAGAATCCAGCAGAATTGCCAGAGGGGATTTGCACCGTGCCAGGCCTGTGTCTGTCTGTCCCCATTGTACCTAAAGGACGTATGGACACACGTACACCCAGATATACACCCCCCACTTCTAAAAATTGTTTTTGTTAGGATGCTTAAAAGGGGAAAAAAACCAACCCAGCTGTGTTTTTAACAGGCTCTTTGGGAGAGTGAATGCCATCCCTTTATATTGCCACACAGCACAATCTTAGTGTAATTTTCCATTGAACTTGTAACCTGGTTAATACCTCAATGCGCTTTGTGTGAGGGTTGTTAGTGTGGGCGTGGGTGGAGAGCTGCATGTCAAGGAATAATGAGAGAAGACAAATCAACAGGCAGCAACAATGCGAGCTGGGACTGGCTAGTGAAAGCTAAAGGCCTTTAGTCACTGGCAGGGAAATCTAAACATTCCCATATCTATGAAGCTGGCTCATTGTGCTGCAGTTGTTACTCTCGATGCTGTGCTGAAAAAGGGATCTCATGATTAAAAAGCCAGTGTGCGGGGAGTTTTGAGTCAAAGCACAGGCATCACAAGCAGCCTTTGTAAAGCACAGATACCATCTAGGCTGGTTATGCTTTCCTTTTGGCATATTTGTCACCGCAGATAGCACTTCACTGGAGACTTGGGGCAGCGGGGCTGTGCTGCTGAGGTGGCTGCAGTGCTGCAGATGAGATTAAATGCACTTAAACTCGGGGAAAAGAGCAGCTTTGCTCAAAGCATGAGATGATAGTTATTAAAATGAAGAGCTTAAAGCAAGCAAAAACGAGCTTTGATTTTGATACTGGTCAGTTTTAAGTATATTTTAAATTTTATGGCATCAACCCACAAATTGTCAAAGAAACATCAGCTTTAAATATTTTTGGTACATATTTTTATCAGACCTGCATGTTATGTATTTGTAAGACAGAGATAAACCGCATTAAACACCACAACAGGCAGCTCCCTCCTCACCCAGCTAACTTGAATCCGGGAACAATTAATTACAGGTACAAGCCCAGCACTTCAACGGCTAATCACCGTGTTTACACCTACTAGCTCGTAATGGAAATGCCAACTTCTGCCCAAGCAGGAACGAAAAAGAGCTTCCCATCCCTTCCTCACCCGACAACTTCTGCGCTCGCTGTCCCTGCAGGTGCGGGCAGAGGCAGCTCCCCACAGCCCTTCCCTGCCCTTCCCAAGGCTTTTCCCGGCCCCGCAGTGCGGGGGAAAAGATGGACCAGTGGACCATCATGTCAGCGGCATGCCGGCCGGAGGAGAGGAGGCATTCCTGGCCCGCTGGCTCCTTCCCGTGCCCGGTGGAAGGGGAGCAGCGCGGGCAGCGCTCGGGGCCGCAGCCGTGCCCTGCTCCCGCGGCCCCAGCGCAGCCCAGGGGCCTCTCCCCGGGCGGGCCCGGGCACGGAAGCCCCGCTGGCTCGGCCCCAGCCCCGGCGCTGGCTGCCGGGCCCTTCCCGGGGGCAGCGGGCAGGGATGGAGCGCGGCTCCCTGGGGATGCGCTGCCTCGCCGGGCTCCGCATCCGGCAGCAGGAGCGGGGCACGACAATCTTCTGCGTGACCTAAACAGCCTCTAACACCCATACTCACCCGCTTTTTTCTTCCAGAGCTGTGTTAGTTGTGAAGACTGAAATCTGCTGTGATCTGTTTGCTCAGCGATTTCCAAGGGTCTCCTCTTTTCACACTGAAATTAGTGGGAGTTGTGCTATTGATTTCAATAGGAATGAGACATTTCTGTGCATTTGGTTAAAATGTATTTCATAATAACACCTTATACTTTATTTATAAGCCCCTTCTAAGGCATTTCACAAATTATAGTCACACAAGAATTGATGTGTGAGTGCTGTCTTAATAACACTGTATTTTGTGTTTCAAATATTGTGTTCTAGATACAATATTTACATTTACAAGTGAAAAGGCGGCTAACCTAACAGTTATTGTTCAGAGCAGACAGATGATGAGCCATACGTGCTGATGGCGAAGCAGACATGCATGGGTGACACGCGTGTTGGAGCCGCCTCGCACCGAGCACACACCGCCTTTAATCGCTTTTAAAAGGTAAGCACCGGCCAGCCTGTGCCCTGCCGCAGGAGGCGGGGAGAGCTGCCTTCTCACCCGGGGTAGAGCGCTGGAAGGGGGCTTCCCCTCTTCTTTTTAGCCAGGCTTTTTATTTATAAAGTGAGCAAAATGCGAGCCTCCAGCCTAACACGGGATTTATTTGTAGGGGCAAGATTACAGCAACAGACATTGCCCCCACCCCAAGGCTTTCCAGCCATTTGGAAGTCCCATTTCCTTCACTTTCAATGGCCAAACATGTCTGTTTTTTTTTTTTTGTGTTTTTTTTTTTTTTTTTAACATTGATTTTTCTGGTGTTACCGACTAAAATATATTATCTCCCCTTCTCTGGGTAATCAACATGTGCAGTTTAGAGTTACACTAAGGATTAAATTAGCTCCACTTTCCCATGGTAAAACAGCACTGCAAAAACTGAAAATCTGTGGGTCTTGTAAATTTTTTCCCCGAGTTCATTTCTGTTTGCTTTTGCGCACAGTTTCAGCTTTGTGCCACGTGTAGCTGATAAGGCTTCTCCACTCTGGGAATGGTGTAGGGTCTTCTTTCAAAATAATTCTTCTGTGCAGCCCTCTTTTTGGTCAGAGTGTGATTGGCACCTACAGACACCCCAAACAACACCATCCTCAGCTGGAAAGAGGGGAGGGAATTGGAATTACAGGTGTGGGAGGGAGTCTGTGGTGGCTGCCTGGTCCTACTCAGAGGGAGAGAGAAGGCACTGTGGGAGTGTTTCTCTTTTCCCTAAAGCCCTGCACTGCCCAGTGGCAGAGGCATGTTCCTCCTCTTTGGGTGGAAAACAAAGCATGGAATGTAGCTCCTTTTGGATTAGTGCTGGAGAATGGTGTGAGGGAAGTCTCCCACATACGTTACCATTCAGTATTTCTTTGAGAAAACAGAGGCTGGAGGAAGCTGCACGAGGTGCACAGTAGTAAAAAGATAGCACAGCTTGGACAGGAGCCAGGTTGGCAGGTTTGTGCTTTAGAACGTAGCTTAAATTAATTCCTCCCCCAACATTCTCTTCTTAGCTGTGAAGAAAGAAAACCCCAGAGCATCAGCAGACAGTTAGGGTAGCTTACCCTGGGTAATTCACTATCCTAAGATAGTTTGCAAAAGTGGTCATGTGGAACATGAAGGTGCTTTTATAGGGTCTGCAGAAATGAAACCCCAAAGCAATGAAGCCATTTGATCAGTCTGGTAATATGTGCTGCTGACGTGCTGTAGATTTCCATGAATCCTCCCAGCTGCCAGAACCCCTGCTGTTTCTCTGGAAGGTGGTGGGAGTCTCCAAGAAACCTGCTTTCCTTCAAGTTTTGACTGTGTTTTTGCACACTGAGAATCTCAGGGCCTTCTGTGCTGTTCCCTTTCCCCATCCTGGTTGTATCCCTGGTGAGAGGATCATGATTTTGAAAATGTGTGTCTGATGCTGGTGGGCTGTGTGCTGGGGCAGGGCTGGTTTGCCCCCACAAAGGACTTTGACACTGGTTTTGCTGGGCTAGTAGAGGTAGAGGTGCTGGAGCCTCACTGCCTAGATCAAATTGTAGGTGGGTCAGATGGTGAGCAGAGGGTCTGTGAGTGCCCCAGGAGGATCCCTGTTAACTTCAGGTGCCTGACAGGAGCTGGAAGTCTCCTGGAATCCTCCAGCAGAGGTTGCAGTTGCCTCCAGGCACCTGACAGACCTCACGTACTCTCTGGCAGCTAAAATTGGTGAGGGTTGCAAATTGCAGCTCTTCCTCTCCTGGGACATACAAGCTTTTCCAGCTGCACCAGAGAAATTTGTAGATTCACAGATAACCTCCTTCAGGTCAGGCTTACACCAGTGGATTTTGAGAAGTTTATGAACAGTTATTCCACAGAAATTACCTACAGGGCAGCAG